CTCATGAACAGGGAATATAGAAAATGTATAATCGGATTCCAATGAAATGTAGTGAACATATGCATGTACTGTCAAATGTAGTACAAAATGCTAAATAGAATTGATTATTGGTAACTGAGTCCCATAATAGGAAAGCTATTGAAATTATCATGACTTTCAATAACAAAAAACTGAATTTTCATTTAAAACATTTATTTAAAATAGAAAAAGCTCTAGAATCCAATAAGGCAAGGCAAGGCAAGTTTATTTATATAGCACCTTTCAACACAAGGCAATTCAAAGTGCTTTACAAAAACGAAAGACATTACAAAAATGGCATTTAAAATCAGTCATTACAAAGAAAAGATAATAAAAAAAACATTAAAAGAAAAAATACATGGATAAAAGTTACAGTGCAGTTTAAGATGTGAATAGTTCAATTAAAAGCAGCGGCAAAAAGAAAAGTCTTTAGTCTGGATTTAAAAGTAGTCAGAGTTGCAGCGGACCTGCAGGTTTCTGGGAGTTTGTTCCAGATATTTGGAGCATAATAACTGAACGCTGCTTTACTATGTTTAGTTCTGACTCTGGGGACAGAAAGCTGACCAGTCCCTGAAGACCTGAGAGATCTGGATGGTTCATAATTTAGCAGGAGGTCAGAAATGTATTTTGGGCCTAAACCATTCAAAGCTTTATAAACCAGCAGCAGTATTTTTAAATATATTCTTTGACACACAGGAAGCCAGTGTAAAGACGTCAGAACAGGAGTGATGTGATCCACTTTCTTAGTGTTAGTGAGGACTCGAGCAGCAGCGTTCTGAATCAGCTGCAGCTTTCTAATAGATTTTTTAGTGAGACCTGTGAAGACACCATTGCAGTAGTCGAGTCTACTGAAGATAAAAGCATGGACAAGTTTTTCCAAATCCTGCTGTGACATTAGTCTTTTAATCCTAGATATGTTCTTTAGGTGATAGTAAGCTGATTTAGTAACTGTTTTAATGTGACTGTTGAAACTCAGGTCAGAGTCCATGACTACACCTACATTTCTGGCTTTATCTGTTGTTTTGAACATTGTAGACTGAAGCTCAGCGTTAACTTTTATACGTTCTGCCTTGGCTCCAAAAACCATTACCTCAGTTTTATCTTTGTTTAATTGGAGAAAGTTCTGACACATCCAGTCATTGATTTGTTCAATGCACTTACTCAGTGTTTGAATTGGAGCATAGTCTCCTGGTGAAATTGTTATGTAATTTTTGTGTCATCCGCATAGCTATGGTAACTTATTTTGTTGTTTTTCATTATCTGAGCCAGTGGTAGCATGTAGATGTTAAAGAGAAGAAGCCCCAAGATGGAGCCTTGAGGTACACTACATGTCATATTTGTCAACTCAGATATGTATTTACCTAAAGAAACAACGTTTTTTCTGTCCTTTAAGTAGGATTCAAACCAATTGTTCATTACTGAAGCATCTAGATTATTCTTTTTTAAGAGCAGTTTAATGACTGCAGTTTTCAGGGCCTGTGGAAAAATACCTGAGTGAAGAGATTTGTTTACTATATGAAGTAGATCTGAGGCCATGCAACGAAAAACATCTTTGAAAAATCCTGTTGGAATAATATCAAGGCAGCAGGAGGAGGATTTCAGAAGTTGAATAATGTTCTCTAGGTTTTTATCATTAATCTGATGGAATTGTGTCATGGTGTTTGAATTGATATTAGGTGGACATAGGGACAACACATTTGCTGTACCTGATGCAGAGGCACTGACTGCTTGTCTGATTTTCTGAATTTTGTCAGTGAAGAAAGAGGCAAAATCATTGCATGCCCTGGTGGATAGAAATTCAGAGGCTACTGACACTGGGGGGTTAGTTAGTCTGTCGACGGTAGCAAACAAGGCATGTGCATTGTTTTTGTTTTTGGTAATGATATCAGAGAAGAAAGACTGTCGTGCGTTTTTCAATTCCAAATTATAAAGGCCAAGTCTCTCTTTATAGATTTCAAAGTGAACCTGGAGATTTGTTTTTCGCCACCTACGTTCAGCTTTTCGACACTCTCTTTTTTCTGCTCTCACGTTCATGGCCTTTCTCCATGGAGATATTTTCTTCCCAGTCACTTCCTTTACCTTAGTTGGAGCAATGGCATCTATAACATTTTTAATTTTTGAATTAAAATGATCTACTAGCTCATTTACTGAGATGTTAGCAGGGGCAAGTGTGGAAGAAAAATTCTGAGTAAAAATGTCCCTAGTATTTTCAGTTAAATATCGCTTTGTGGTTACCTCGTTTTGAAAAATGTTGTGAACAGAAATAGAGCTCTCAAATAACACACAGCAATGATCAGAGAGTGCAACATCAAGGCAAGGCAGGCAAGGCAGGCAAGGCAAGGCAAGTTTATTTATATAGCACTTTTCAACACAAGGCAATTCAAAGTGCTTTACAAAAAATGAAAGTCATTCAGAAAAAGGCATTTAAAATCAGTCATTAAAAAGAAAAGCTAATAAAAGAAACATTAAAAGAAAAAATACATGGATAAAAGTTTTAGTGCAGTCTAAGATATGAATAGTTCAATTAAACATTAAAAGAAAAAGTACATGGATAAAAGTTACGGCCCGTACACACAGCAGCTTTTGGCGATTTGTCCACCGCTTCCAGCTCGTCTCCGCCCATTGACTTTGAATGGGGATGACGTCACTTTCCCTCGCTTGTCGCCGAACTGCATTGTGGGGGGGCGAGGCGAAGATTTCCAGGATTTCCAGGATGTTCAGGATTCCAAAGTTGAACAATGTTCAACTTTTGAGGCTGAGCTGGAAGCGACAGCCAATCAGATCCGTTTATGCAAATCTGACAGTTCAAGCGCTAGCCAATCAAACCGCATGCAAGCTGGGAGAGCCAGACCCGCAGTTAATTTCTATATTCCACAAAAATGGAGGAGAACTTAGTTATTGCGGTAGCAAATCACCCGGTTCTTTATGACCAGTCCCTATTTACTTATCGGGATACAAACCGGAGGAACCAGGCATGGAGGGAGGTGGCAGAGACAGTGGGTGAAACTGGTAGGTTTTCGCTTGTTTGGGGATTTTATATCCAGTTTACTTCGTTGCTAGTTTACTTCGTTGCTAGCAAGCATAGACAGTATCATTAGCCAGCATGGAATGTAGCATAAAATAGCACCATAAACATTAATCTCATAAATGTTCAAAATGTTAAAAAAATAAATGTTCATCATAGCCCTTCCTATTTGACAATAGTGTAGAAGAACCGGGTTTTTTTGCTTTGTATGTCGTGGGCGGGATATTTATGTGATATTCATGTGATTGGTTGTTGGTCGCGAAATCCCCAAGCTGTCAGACACGCCCAGCTCCAGGATTTTCAAGATTTGGTCAAAGCTGCTGTGTGGACACACCGTTACAGTGCAGTCTAAGATATTAATAGTTCAATTAAAAGCAGCGACAAAAAGAAAAGTCTTCAGCCTGGATTTAAAAGTCACCACAACCTTAGAGATATTCAGACCCTTTGAGATAATTAAGTCCAGGGTGTGCCCCTTATTGTGCGTGGGCTCCGTCACATGCTGAGTCAGTCCATAGTTATCAAGAACACAAAACAGTTCTTTAGCCCCTCTGTCCTGGGGGTTGTCAACATGGATGTTAAAATCACCAACAATGACTAGACGGTCAAAGTCAATATACACTATAGACAGCAGTTCAGTAAAGTCATCAAAAAAGCTTGCACAGTATTTGGGTGGTCTATAGATATTTAGGAACAGAGCTCGAGAGGAGCAAGAAGGAAAGTAGTATGGGAAATGTGCACAAAGGTCCATGACTCCATATGCCTTAATATAAGATGTTTTTGTAAGATATGTTAAGTAAGCAAGTTGCTGACACATTAGCCATATCTAAACACCCTAATATTATCAATTGGAACATAATACCTTAATTCACAGGTGGTGGGTAAAGAAGACTGATTAAAAGCCTCCTTACTCAAATCAGTGAGGCGGTAAAAAGATTTAACACATCAGCAGGCTACGTTAATTGTTCAGCTTAACCATGGAAAGAAATCTGATTAGCTGCAGAACACTAATTTTAAACATAATCTGGTGCTTTCCCTCACCTCTGACATAGAAAAATAACCAACCACATCCTGGTTCACGCACCCTGGCCATTTAGCCCTTCCTCATCTGTCATATTGTCACCAATGGTCCTCTGTTAACCTTCAAGGCATTGTCTGGTTTTACAGTGTTTGCCAAAAGCAAACATCTATCTCTCCATCAGGAAACATTTGGGTTTAAACGGAAAAGTGTCTCAAGTTTCAAACTCTCTTAGTGTTCCCCTCTGTGTTTGTGCATCTATCGTGGCCTTTTTTGTAGTCAAGATTTATTTTTCACACTTAATTTCCCATTAGGTCATAAATTGAAGGTCTGTTGGTGATTCCCAGAGTCAGAGCGTTCAGCTACCAAGCTGCCTTTCTCTGGAACCAATTAATTAATTAGGGAGGAAGACAGTGTCGAAAAATGTTGGGACACAGTGGACCTCCCTGATAAAAACAGAAAGTTTTGAAGACCATACTTTTGAATAAAGCCTATATTTAGAGGTGGTTTAAGATCACCCTGTTGTCCTACATTTAATGGTATTTTTTTCTGTTTTCTATGTATTTTTCTGTATTTTTACTCTCTTTCTGTTGTGTTTTATCTCGTTTATTTGTATTTCACGTTCTATCTTGTCTTTTTAACATTTCTTGTAATTTTATTTATCTTTTAACAATGTCATCTATGCTTTTTGATCTTTAAAGCCCAAACGTGTTTTGTGATATTGGGCTATATATAAATAAACTATGATTTGATTCGAAAGAGATTATTGGGAAACCATGAAATAGATTAATGTAACTGTAAATGCTTTATGATTTGCAGGATATCCGTGAATATGTGTGATCATTTCCAAGTTTCTCTTAATCATTAATCCTAATTTTTTATTTTTTTTTTGTTTCCTGGTTTGCCTTTGTGTGGTGTGATGGGTGGTTCGAGAGTTAGAGGCTGCATATAAAGCCATGTGTTGGGCTGTGGCTGCAGTTGCCCCTGGTCTCACCTGCTATCCTGCAGCCACAAAGCCACAGGCAGCATGGCCTCGCCGCGATGGATACTGGCAGTCTGCGTTTCTCTATTCTCAGGTACCAATTACTAATTTAATTATTTGAATATGCTCTAAATTTTCCAAGCAAAAAAAGTGTCAAGAAACAAGACTATTACTAAATCAAAAATATACAATATCACCACATTTCTTCAAAAGAAAAAGCATAAATAGCTACATGATAAGGATGTTTTATTATTTTAGATATTTGTTGTTTTTTTATGGTTGTTAACAATATCTATTTTGTCACATTTTACCAACTGGAGAAGGAAAAGTAAATCAGTCATCAGTGCCACATTGAGTGGTGAATTAAAAGAGGATATTATTGTACTTGATTACAAATTAGAGGTACTTAATTTGCCCCTTCTTTATATTTCTACTAATAAAATTAAAAAGCAATTACCTTTTACTCAGCTAAATTCTTTGAAAGCTTTAGTGACGAGTTACTTTATAAATGAATAATTTAGACACAAAGATTATGAACATATTTGAAAACGTTATGCACTATTGTAGATTAAACCTGGTACAGTACTTTCAATAAAGGACCTTTATGTAAAAAGTATTTAATCGTACCACATCTCTATTTTGAATTAGCATATTGTAACTAACCTGCTGTATCCATTTATTTGTGTTGAAATTAAATATTTCATTTTTTTAAATATATATTTTGACTTCCACCTTGACACCGTATTTCTCTCCTAGTGTTAGGCACCGGGGAATCGGTCACAACAACTGAAAGTCAGAAATGTGAGTATACATTTATTATTATTATTGGATCCCAATCAGTTAAAGGTGGGGTAGGTCATTTTGGAGAAACCAGCTCGAGTGGCTAGAATTTGAAATTACACAACCGGAAAATATCTGCCACTTCCTTACAGAGCCCCTCCTCCAATACACACGAAGCGCACATGACCAATCAGGGCACAAGATAAGTTTGTGCACAGATGGAAGGCTGACAGGCAGGTAGGCCATCCAGTTATTTTAGCTGGGCCGGCTAAAATGATTGGTCGTGCTTTTTACAGTACTACGGCTTCCACAGATGAATTTTTTTTATGGATTTTTTGTCAAAACTCTTAAGATATTCATTGCTATCGGGATGTTAAGAGCATTCCATGGAATATAACAAAAAGTGTATCTCGACCCGGTTTCTCAAACTTACCTACCCCACCTTTAATTATACATAAAACACCTTATTTGATTTGGTTTTTATACACTTGTATAGTGATAGTGAATTAGGTGGCTTTTTTATTTAGAATTGTTACTTAAAATCATCTTTTGTTATACAATATTACAAGAAAAGGAGCATTCACATTGTCTGTCATGTTAGAAGTACTACAACCTTTAGCAGGAGAAACACATTACATTTGGACAGTGATATTTTAAACCCTCCAGAAACATACAAGAAAAACTGAATGGACTTATTGCTTTATTATTGAGCTCCGTTAAGTCGTCGTTAATCAGTAACTTGTTCACAGACACTTGCAGGACTTTTGGCAGCGGCGTCGTCCAGCCTTTCAACGGTTCAAGTTTCTACGTTCGGTCCAACTGCATGTTCCTCCTCACCCACTTCACCCACCACCGGGTGGAGTGTGACATCACCACACGGCGAGAGGACGACGGGCTGCTGGTCCGAGTCGAGATCATCATCAACAAAGTCAGGACGGTTGTGCAGAATGGAAGCATCCTGGTGGAGGGGAAAAGGTTTGTGCCAAACCAAAACCCAGCCTGATCCTGTTTTAAGAAACTTCAGACTGTTTTGCCAAGGAAGAAATCATTCACTTAAATGGCTTTCATAATCAATCTTTACTGTGAGGTGACACTTTTATGCATTCCTAATGTTATTAATGTTAGTCAATTATTAGCTTTGACTTTGGGACTCTCGATTGTTAATAGTTTGTCTATTAAACAAATTGAGCCAATTGAATACCTAACTACTTTTATATATAAATCAATGAGGAAATAGGAATACATAACTTTCTCGTCAGTCAGGGGCACTGAAGCTGTCTAAGTCTAGTCTTAATTGTGTGGAACCTGTTTCCTGTATCTGTGCTGATATCTCTGTACATTCATTTGTTGACAGTGTTTCCCTTCCATACGACCACACCTACCAGCATATCTTTCAGTACGGCATCTACACCAAACTGAAGAGCTCACTGCTTCCTCTGTCCGTCACCTGGCACAATGTTCCCGGAGGAGTAGACACTCTGTGGGTGAGTTAATAACGTTCAGCATGATCCCATAATCCTTGTTGTGGATTATTCACATGTAGTTAAGGACTGCAGAACAATAACCTTACCCACTGAACCTTTATAAAAAACGTGTTGTTAAGGTGGAGTTGGAGCAGGAGCTAAGCACCGACATGACTGGACTGTGTGGAAAGCACACCACCCAAGGTATGTTGGTTAAAAGACAGAATTAATATACGTTTTTTAGCAGCAGTGCTTTTATTAGTAGCGGTATTTATAATGTTGTGGATATAAACTAGTTGTATACCGAATAAGTACATTAAGCTATATATCAAACGTTTAAATAAAGACAAAAAAACAAGTTAGACCACAGGTGTAAAATAAATGTTAATGTTAGTATTCTAATCATTATAATGTAGCTGATTAAACTAATGCACACATTTAGCTATTGCCAAACGTTGACGTTTTTATGCTTCGCTCTAAGAATTTACAATGTTCATGAAACCAGGAAACAAGCAGCAGTTGATCACAGAGAGCGAGCTCGCTGATGACACGTGTCAAACCCGAGATCCTTTCTCCGCTGTCAATCAAGTAAGTGAACTGTTGCAAGGTCATATAATACCAGACCCCGTCCTGGGGAGGCCCGCCCATACAGGATTATGGCCCTGCCTGGAGAAGTCAGCATTATTATTGTCGACCATAAATAAATAATAATAATGTTGTTTCAAGATCAGTGAAATTCACTGAAAAAGCACATATGTTACTTATATGCTAATAATTATACAGCAATAACTGTTGAGCCCATGCCACCTATTATTTTTAACCTTGATCCGGTCCTCTGAAATAAAATGGCCACCCCTGCATTTAGGTCTGCCTCAGTGTCTGACAATACCATAATATAAAATTGTTCCACATTGAAAGTGATTTCTCTCATAATACTTGTAGGCATGCAGGGAGTTCTTTTCCTACACCCTGGAATGTCTGCTAGCTCAGACGCCTCAATATATTCAACTCTGTGAGGAGAACATTTACAGCTGCGAAACGAGCAAATACATCAGCTGTGCTTTCTTCAAAGAAGTAGTCCAACAGTGTGGAGACAACAGCCATGTCTGGGACATTTGGAGAACGGTTACTCACTGTGGTAGGTGCTCTTCAAATCTAGATTTTGAAGTTCTTTAAATTTGGACACTTGATGATATTGCCTGTTTCTGTGTGTTTATGCAGATGAGCCCAGGTGTCCAGGGAATCTAGTTTATGTAGAACTGGGTGCAGCCTTTGTTCCCAGCTGCTCCAATCGGAACCCAACCTCCTCCAACCAGGAACTCACCAGCTCCTGTGTCTGCCCTCAGGGTGAGCTCTGTCTGACTTTAGGATGTAGCTCTTTACTTCTCATTAGCCTTTACAAGCCTAAAAGTTATACTCATTTGTGTTGTAGGTACGGTGCTCAATGATCACGAAGATAGCTACCAGTGTGTGAGTGTGTCCAGCTGCCAGTGTGTGTTTGCTGGTAAAAGCTACTCACCCGGAGACATACTTAGCACTAAGTGTCAGTCATGGTGAGTGGGTGGAAAACTGTTTTAAAACATACAAATGATCCATGAGTTGCACATTATCTGTCGTAAGTCTTTATTGATCAGCAGTATTTAGTATGCAATATATGGAGAAATAAATGACAAATATTTTTAGATATGCCTACACCCCCTTTTACAACTACTCTGATTCTGTATGTATCCTGTCCTGAATTTTCCTTTACCTCACATTTTAATAAAATCATCAAATAATTCTGTCATGAAGTAATATGATAATAATTCTGTCATAAAGAACTATTACGTTTTTACGGGTGTATTGTATTCTTTCAATTTACCTGCATTGTGCCATAAGCTTGACTAAAGCACCACTTGCAAGTTGTTTTTTCAAGTTTGTGTTTTATGCAATAAAGCTAAATCAATAAATGTATATCCATTAAGTATCAAAATGAGGTTATTTGGATAGTGTAGTGTAGTGATATCATCGGTCTGAAGTTTTTACTGTGAGTTTTTTTCTCGTGTTTTTCCACAGTACGTGTGTCGATGGGAAATGGCAATGCTCTGAAAACCTCTGCCCCACCAGATGTGTAATCGAAGGGCAGTTTGTGACATCATTTGATGCCAAAAAATACGTCCTGCCTGGTAAATGTACATATGTGGCTTCACAGGTAAATATTTCCCACTTCCCACAACATGTAACATTAACCCATGTTGTCTTTTTATGGTACTAACTTTGTTTTTATTTTCAAGGGTCTCTACTGGACAATAACAATAGAGTTTTCCAAAAAAGCACCCTCACTAAAAACTGTTATTCTTCAGCTTTTTCAGGTACTAGCACTCTTTAAAGTTGAATTTAAAATTACACAATCAAACAATCAATGAACACTGATGAACAGTCATTAAATATAAACACTCTTTCTTGGATTTGCAGGAAACATATACATTCTCTCAAAACAGGGTTCAAATTGGAGGGGAGACGATCACTGAACTTCATCAATCTGGTAAAATAAATTAGAAGAACAGTTGTCCATTTGATCTATTTAGGGTTCCCGTAATATGCCTGGTAACCTTGTTATTAATCCATAATGGCCTTGCTACCAAACCACTAATAACTTACCCCCCTCTGTCACCTGTCAGATCATGCTCTGGTTTTCTGGCAGTCCTCCATGTACGTCCAGGTCGACACATCCTTTGGTATGAAGATCCAAGTCCAAATGTCTCCTGAAATCCAGCTGTACATCACCCCGCCCAAAGACCACACTGGCATAATCTCAGGTTAGGATCTCAGTCTAAAAACAAGCCAAAATATATCACAATCTCCCAAAACCAAATACAAAAAAGACATCCTTTATCCTCTGTTTTGTTATCACATACCGCCTGTCTTCCAGGTCTCTGTGGCAACAACAACAACGACACCACAGATGACTTCACCACCAGCAGCGGGATCATCGAGAACTCTGCTCAGCCGTTCGCTCAGTCCTGGAGCGTGGGGGCTTGTGCAGTGAACATATACCCCTGCATCAACACTGATAATGGTACCAATTACAAATGAGATACATGTGCTTTTAAAATGTCGGAAACGTGTAGAAATCCACACACATGGTTTATTTGTTTACCTGAATTCTGCATTTTTTAGATTATAAGCTATTTTCAAAAGAAAATAGACATCAAGTTGTTACATTTTGATAGTAGAAGAATCAAATGTGCTTTTTTTATATTTTTACAGAGATTTTCGCTGATGAGAAATGCTCAGTGTTGAACATCCCCACTGGGATATTTGCTAAGTGCCATGGTCATATCCCTACTAATCACTACCACACGGTAAAGGGCCTTGTGCACAAATTAAATCCTTATTATCAACATTTAATGGTTGTCGCCTGTTGTTCTTACACTGATTCTTATGTCCAGGCTTGCATCAAACGAACATGTAACTGTGGCAGCAGCTTGTCTCAGTGCCTGTGTGTCTCTCTGGGTAGTTATGCCGAAGCCTGTGCCAGTCTGGGTGTTGTGATTGGTGACTGGAGGAAAGCTACCAACTGCAGTGAGTTGAGCTTTGATAAAAATACCATTTATTCCATCTGCATTCTCACATTTTATTTTACACAGTCCACTGAGAAGAGCCAATGTAGTATGTTCACGTTAAGTATGATTTCAACATCGTCTACACAACAGATGTTAATAAAATAAATGTAAATACACTTGCAACAACTTTTCACACTATGTTTATATTTTAGATTACTCTAACTTAATCTGGATGTTTCAAACTGTGCATTCTTTACATACTCCAAAGATACATATGTTTCTACTGTTGATATTTATATATTTACTGTTCATTTTTCATTTATTTTGATATTTTTTGCAATCCTTTGTTTACATGCTGCTTTGACAAACCCCATTCCTAATTTGGGATCAAAAAAGTATATTTGATCTAATTTAATCCAACTGTGAATGTAAAGACTTTACTGTAAAGACTTTACTTTACTTTAATGTAAAGGAAAATGTCACATATTCATATTAATAGTATTAAATCAGTGGTGTATGTAACGTTAATCTCACTGTTGTGTCGCAGCTTTGAACTGTCTAAAGAACCAGGAATTCTCATACGACACGCGAGCCTGCAAACACACATGCCGCTCCCTGTCGGGCCCGGACCCCCGATGCGGGCTGGACGATGCTCCGGTGGAGGGCTGCGGCTGTCCGGAGGGAACTCACCTGAACCAAGGAGACGTCTGCACCCGAAAGGCAGAGTGTGACTGTCACTACAACGGCGGGACGACCCCACCAGGGGCTGCTATTATCGATGGACGAAATTGGTGGGCATTTAAAACATAAATAACATTAATCATAACATTTTCACAATTGGTTGAGGCTTTATCAGAGCTGTTATAGTGTGCTCAGTAGTCTACATCTATGGTGTAAACATGCTTAATCAAAGTTATTATCATGTGTTTATTCCAGCCTCTGTGTAAATGGAGAGCTGAACTGTTCCCAGGATTGTGGTAAATATATATCTAATTTTGTTATATAATCATATTGAAATCCTACCTTTGTTATATGTGCGCCTTTCATTTTCATTCATTAGTAAAAAGTGTAACTTGACAGTGTGTGAATCTGCTTGAAACACAGGGTGCAGAAATGGAAAGGTTTGTGTGCATTGCAGCGAGTACCCTGTCGACACGGCTCAGAAAACCTGTGAGAGTCTCAGCAAACCAATGGTAGGTCAACAGATTATATCTTTATGTACAATGCTTGCTTATGTGTGTCTTATAATTTGTTCTAAATTTTTTCTGACTGATAACCTGTAAAAACTGTTGGACGTATTGTTTTGTGATGAGCATTTACAAAAATCAATGTCAGTGACTTGCATCCCATACATTTACCCTTCTTTTCTTTTGATGGGGCAAACTTTGAGCCAAAATATTTTGTATGTGATTACTAGGGTACCAATATGACCTGTGTGAGTGGCTGTTACTGCCCACATGACCAGTATGAGGATCACCGTGGACACTGTGTTTCTCTTGATAACTGCACCTGTGTGTACAGCGGCAAAGTATTCAGTGCAGGACAGCACGTCAGCACCAACTGTAAAACATGGTAACACTTGCTGCTTTTCTACTTATGCGTTTAAAAAATTGTTGTTCCTTCAAAAGCTAATCAAGCCATGATGCAGAGGGTGAATAAAAGGTTGTCATCACTCTGTGTTTCAGTGTCTGTGGTCAGGGTCAGTGGCTCTGCAGAGACGAGCCTTGCTCTGGGAAATGTCAGGTTTACGGCAACGGACACTACCAGACATTTGACTCCAACTGGTACCGCTTTGACGGACAATGTCAGTACACACTAGTAGAGGTGAGAACAAACACTGAAGATGGAATAGTATTTTCATGTGTCTTAGCTTTGTCGGCCTCTAATGCATCATCTGTCCATCATCCAAATACTTTAAGACATTTAAACAATATGTAGAACACAGTTTGCCTTATTCTTCAATAACAATATGTTTTTCTTCTGCATTTTATTCAGGATGGCTGTGGAGATGGAAACCGCACCTTCTCTGTCAGAGTGGAGAGCGTCCCCTGTTGTGATGAGGTGCTCACCTGCTCTCGCTCGATCGTCCTCAACCTGCAGGTGGATGGCTTTTTCCGTCATTTTTCTTTACTAAGACTTTAAGTTATTGTTCACCTCTTTATTATCCATCTGTATAAAGAACTAAACAAAAACTAAACACTAAGAACTGGCATTAAAGAAGGGGAACTACAGACCTAATATAATACAGAAGGAATGATATTCAGCGATAGTTGAAATAAATTAAGCGCAGACAGGAAATGAAATATCTGAGCTGAAACTAAATGTGATCATTTCAAATGTTAAATACAACAATAATCAATTAAACAACAGATTATTACAACCTTATATAATTCAGTTAACATAAATATGAATAATATGTTATTTAAGGCAATAAATGGTCGTGAAGCAGCAGTCTACATTTTCCAATACCATGAATTGTACCTGTGTTTTCATTAAAGGACAAAGTCACCCTGACACTGAGCGACATGAAGGTAACCAGACGCTACCATGAAGGCTGGACTCTGCAGGGAGACTCACTTTACTCCACACACACTGTCGGACTTTACATCATAATCTCTGTGCCGAGCAGAGGGATAACTCTCATCTGGGACAAACACACCCGCATCACTATAGAGCTGCAAGCACACTGGAGGGTGAGTGATTGTCACATTATCCAAAAAAAAAAGTATATTATGCACTGCTAAACTTAAGGTTAACATTGAATGTTTACTGATTCATATAACTAGCTCAAATGAACTGTAAAACTTAAGTGTACTTGAATTTGTAACCATTTTATTTGCAGAACCGAGTCTGTGGCCTCTGTGGAAATTTTGACTTCAATGAGATGAATGATCTACAGATAAGTGGCTCAGCAGGTAGACTGGTCCCTCTTTTTTGTAAATCACTTTTACTTTTGATGTTTGTCAGTCTAACATTAGAACAAAACTATTTTTTAGTGGTGTCCAGCCCCTTGGCATTTGGCAACAGCTGGAAAGTGGCCACCCCTCCCTGCTCCGATGTGACAACAGAGATATTTCCGTGTGAACGCAACTCCTACTGCGCAGCCTGGGCCCAGCGGCGCTGTATGATTCTCACAGGAGACACCTTCAGTGAATGCCACCTCAAAGTATGCATTTCACATATTTAGCATGACACCAGGATCAATAGCTGCAAACAGCAATACCTGTTCATGTCTTTAATTGCTATAGATTCAAATGTTTTGCAAGATAAAAAATATATTACTATTTAAAGTAATAGGGGGCGCCCTTTTATTAAAAACTCAACAGGTGGATCCAACTTCCTTCTACCATGCGTGTGTGCAAGAGTCCTGCTCCTGTGAGTTTGAAGGCAAGTTCCTGGGCTTCTGCACGGCCGTGGCAGCGTACGCAGAGGCCTGCAGCGACCACGATGTTTGTATAAATTGGAGAACACCTGATTTGTGTCGTAAGTAAAAATCATTTTTCACCCACAGGAATTTGAATTTTGTGTGCAATAGAACTGACACATAAATGTATCAAACTTTTTCTATCTAACTATCCATATGATGAAAGGTTTGTTAGATACTTTAATATTAGAAATGTGTAAAACTTTAACCTGTGATCATTTAAACCTTAGCGGTCTACTGTGACTACTACAATGAGCAGGGCCAGTGTAGCTGGCACTATGAAGCCTGTGGAAAGATGCTAACCTGCGGCAAAGACAACTACATCACTCACAAACTGGAAGGTAACAGGACTCATAATAGTATTCAAATATAACAGCTTAACACAATTCTTAATCATGTGATTTCTGAATCTTACTTATTTGTTCTTATTCAGGCATATTGCAAACAAATCCCGCCTCACAATTAATATATCTATTGAATGATTTTTTTGCGCCTATAAAATAAAAATGATGTGTATTTTCCAAAAAAAGGCTGCTACCCCAGATGTTCAAAGGAGGAGCCATACTTTGATGAAAATACTGGTGAATGCACTAAATTGAGAAATTGCACCTGTGACTTTAATGACACCATCCTTCAGCCCAGGGCAGTGGTGATGATACAGTCTGTTGAGTGGTAAGTTGGAACATTCTTAATATAAATATAGTATGTTCAAATATGTAAATGTTCAAGATAAACATAATATGAAACATTGTGCACTTTTCATAACTCATTGCATTGATAACTGGATTTTTCTAACTCTTTAACATTGTGTTTGTCAGCCGCTGTGAAAATGGGAAAATGAATTGCCGTAAGTATCAATTAAAGTAATTCACCATTAAATGTATTATTTAATTTGTCAATGAACTGTTATTAAAGGTGGGGTAGGTAAGTTTGAGAAACCGGCTCGAGATACACTTTTTGTTATATTCCATGGAATGCTCTTAACATCCCGATAGCAATGAATATCTTGAGTGCTTTGACAAAAAATCCATAAAAAAATGTCATCTGTGGAAGCCGTAGTACTGTAAAAAGCACGACCAATCATTTTAGCCAGCCCGGCTGAAATAACTGGATGGCCTACCTGCCTGTCAGCCTTCCATCTGTGCACAAACTTATCTCGTGCCCTCATTGGTCATGTGCGCGTTTGTGTGTTGGAGGAGGGGCTCTGTAAGGAAGGGGCAGATTTTTTTCCGGCTGTGTATTTTCAAATTCTAGCGCACTCGAGCTGGTTTCTCCAAAATTACCTACCCCACCTTTAAAAGGAAAAATGTTTTTGTAGCAATCAGTTTTCTCGAAGATTTAAATTACAGTAAATTCAACTTTACAGAAACAAAACACCAGACCCCAATTCCACCTCTTTTACCAACAGCACCTCCACCCACCACACCTGCCACCACACCTGCCACCACACCTGCCACCACCACCGCTTCAATTACAACTGAAACAACTGTGTTTTCCACCACCATTACTACACCACCAACTACAGCAGTCTTAATTACGACTGAATCATCATCAACAACACCCCGCAGCACCTCCTCACCAATGACAACCACTACCAATGTCTCAACTACCACTGGAGATTGGTCAACCTTGCTTTCCACCACTGCTACACCAACAACTACAACTGTCTTAACTACAGATGAAACATCATCAACAATGCTCCCCACTACCGCTACACCATTAACCACAACGGCACATACTACCAATGACACAACTGTATATCCTACTACCACTACACAAACAACTACAACTGACTTAACTACAGCTGTCATATCCTCAACAACACCCTCCACCACCTCTACACCAATGACAACTACTGCTAATGTCTCAACTACTCCTGGAAATTGGTCAACTATGAATCCTTCAACAATTACTACACCAAAAACTACAATTGACTTAACTACTGCTGAAACTTCATCAACAGTGCTCCCCACCACCTCTACACCAATTATGACCACTACCAATGTCTCAACTACTCCTGGAAATTGGTCAACTATGAATCCTTCCACCATTACTACAACCACAACTGCCTCAACTACAGCTGATACATCAACAACGCCCCCCACTACTTCTACTCTGATTACAGATGTCTCAACTACTACTGGAGCTAAGTCCACCATGTTTCCCACCACCTCTACACCAATAACCACAACTGCCTATGCTACCAATGAAACAACTGTATATCCTACCACGATTAAGCCAACAACCACAACTGCCATAACAACTGCTGAAACATCATCAACAATGCCAAATATTTCTTCTACACCAATGACAGCCATTACCAATGTCTCAACTACTACTGGAGATTGGTCAACCACCTCGACACCAATAACCACAACTGCATTTACTAATAATGAAACAACTGTGTATCCTGCGACTACTACACTGATGACTACAACATCTGTAACATCTTCAACAATGCCCCCCACCACCTCTACACAAATCCTAACCATTACGAATGTTTCAACAACTGTTGGAAATTGGTCAACTGTGCCTTCCACCTCTACCCCAACATCTACAACTGCCTATACTACCAATGAAACAACTGTGGATCCTGAAACTACTCTACCAATAACAACAACAACTGCCCTAACTACTGCTGAAACATCAACAACTGTGCTTTCCACCACTTCTACACCAATAATAACAACTGCCCTAACTACTGCTGAAACATCATCAACAACAACAACAACTGTGCTTTCCACTACCTCTACACCATTAACCACAACGGCACATACTACCAATGACACAACTGTATATCCTACTACCACTACACAAACAACTACAACTGACTTAACTACAGCTGTCATATCCTCAACAACACCCTCCACCACCTCTACACCAATGACAACTACTGCTAATGTCTCAACTACTCCTGGAAATTGGTCAACTATGAATCCTTCAACAATTACTACACCAAAAACTACAATTGACTTAACTACTGAAACTTCATCAACAGTGCTCCCCACCACCTCTACACCAATTATGACCACTACCAATGTCTCAACTACTCCTGGAAATTGGTCAACTATGAATCCTTCCACCATTACTACAACCACAACTGCCTCAACTACAGCTGATACATCAACAACGCCCCCCCACTACTTCTACTCTGATTACAGATGTCTCAACTACTACTGGAGCTAAGTCCACCATGTTTCCCACCACCTCTACACCAATAACCACAACTGCCTATGCTACCAATGAAACAACTGTATATCCTACCACGATCAAGCCAACAACCACAACTGCCATAGCAACTGCTGAAACATCATCAACAACAACAACAACAACTGTGCTTTCCACTACTTCTACACCAATATCCGCAACTGACTATACTACGAATGACACAACTCTATCTCATAGTACCACTACACTAACTACTACAATTGACTTAACTACAGCTGTCACATCCTCAACAACACCCTCCACCACCTCTACACCAATGACAACTACTGCTAATGTCTCAACTACTCCTGGAAATTGGTCAACTATGAATCCTTCAACAATTACTACACCAAAAACTACAATTGACTTAACTACTGCTGAAACTTCATCAACAGTGCTCCCCACCACCTCTACACCAATTATGACCACTACCAATGTCTCAACTACTCCTGGAAATTGGTCAACTATGAATCCTTCCACCATTACTACAACCACAACTGCCTCAACTACAGCTGATACATCAACAACGCCCCCCACTACTTCTACTCTGATTACAGATGTCTCAACTACTACTGGAGCTAAGTCCACCATGTTTCCCACCACCTCTACACCAATAACCACAACTGCCTATGCTACCAATGAAACAACTGTATATCCTACCACGATCAAGCCAACAACCACAACTGCCATAGCAACTGCTGAAACATCATCAACAACAACAACAACAACAACTGTGCTTTCCACTACTTCTACACCAATATCCGCAACTGACTATACTACGAATGACACAACTCTATCTCATAGTACCACTACACTAACTACTACAATTGACTTAACTACAGCTGTCACATCCTCAACAACACCCTCCACCACCTCTACACCAATGACAACTACTGCTAATGTCTCAACTACTCCTGGAAATGGGTCAACTATGAATCCTTCAACAATTACTACACCAAAAACTACAACTGACTTAACTACTGCTGAAAATTCATCAACAGTGCCCCCCACCATATCTACACCAATTATGACCACTACCAATGTCTCAACTACTCCTGGAAATTGGTCAACTATGAATCCTTCCACCATTACTACAACCACAACTGCCTCAACTACAGCTGAAACATCAACAACGCCCCCCACTACTTCTACTCTGATTACAGATGTCTCAACTACTACTGGAGCTAAGTCCACCACCTCCACACCAATAACCACAACTGCCTATGCTACCGATGAAACAACAGTATATCCTACCACGATTAAGCCAACAACCACAACAGCCCTAACAACTGCTGAAACATCATCAACAATGCCAACGATTTATTCTACACCAATGACGGCCATTACCAATGTCACAACTACTACTGGAGCTTGGTCAACTCCAGGTATATGTCAAGTATTTGTTGCATATTTCTCTCTTTTTATCAGTTAACTAAGCAGTCAGATTCTTAAATTACCCCAACTGTGTTTTATCAATTTCTAAATGCACTGTCTTTTAATGTTTTGTGTTTATCAAACCACCAGTGTGTGAGTGTAAAGACCTGAAGAGGAAACTAAGCTGGGGTTGCGGCGAGATGTGGACAGAGGACTGCTACGATAAGAGCTGTAGGGAGGGGAAGATAGAGTTGACTCCAGTGGTTTGTCCAGAGTCTTCAAGGCCTAAATGCCCCAGAGACCAGGCCACACAAGTCTGGGATGGATGCTGTGAAACATGGAAGTGTGACTGTAAGTTGTCTGTCTCTTCCATTGTTATTTTCTCTAAATCAGCATCAAGACATTTAGCTCCCAATTCCTTTGGTTCATCCAGACTGATGTCCATCTGTCTTTATAACAAAATGCCTAGTGAGGCTGTATTCAAGGAATTATAAATGCTTAAGTCAGGATGCTATCATACTCCTACAAGCTTAACATACTAACATTTAGCAATTTCTGTTTCCTATGGTTACTATCTTTCTTTAAAATGCTAACTTTTACTTACTAGTACTGAACCAGAGTACAGGTAAGACTGGACATTTTTCCCAGGTTTTTGGTTATTATACCCCCAAGATTATTACAATAAAATTGCAGTCCATTTAATAGTTGTTGAAATGTTTTAGTCTGGACCAAAGCCGTGAATTGATGTGCCAAAAATGCCATCCCTAGAGCCATATGGGGCTTATTTTGAGAAAAAAATATTAAAATCCCATATTATGTTCCCTAGGTCGCTGTGAGCTGTATGGGGATCCCCACTACATTTCTTTCCAAGGAGTAACCTTTGATTTCCTGGACGAATGCACCTACCTTCTTGTTGAGGAGCAGTCAATACATTATAATCTGACCATTGCTGTGGACAACTTTGTCTGTGTGGAAGGCCTCCATGGCTCGTGTGCTAGAGGCATCATCCTGAAATATCAGAACAGTACAGCTACACTCAGTATCCTTCCAGATATGTTTCAAGTACAGGTAGGATATATTTTTATTTATTTATAGTACGACATTTGACCATGAACCCTTATAAAATATATTGACGATAAAGCTACAAGGATGCTGATAATCTGCCATTCCCTTTTTAATAAGAGAGGTTGTTTGATTTGGATCTTATGTGCACTAGGCCACTCTGAACAACGTGACCATACAGCCGCCATATGAGGAGCCTGGGTGGAGGTTTGAGACCACCGGATATGTAGTGTCAATCTTCCTCCCAGACCTGCGCTCTTATGTCTCCCTCACTCCGTCTTACACCCTGGTGGTCAGTCTGGCCATGGAGCATTTCCTCAACAATACCCAGGGACAATGTGGTGGGTAATGGATTGAAAGGGAGTGGTTAAGTGCTTATGAGAACCATAGATATGTGCTAACATGGCTAAAAGCTATACACAGTGTGTTTATGTTAATTCCCACCTCTTCATCTTCTCCAGGAGTGTGTGGTGTTGGATCATGTGTCCGTAAAGGAGGGCAGATCGAGGATGACAGCTGCTGTAGTAAGACGGCCAATGACTGGGTGTACCACGACCCCCTCAAGCCCGCCTGTGCTTCTGCCCCCAGAGACGTACCTTGTATCTCACCCACTACAGTACCCACAAGCCCACCCCCTACCCCCTGCCCTGCTAGCCCACTATGTGAGCTGCTACAACACCCGTAAGCTCAACATACTAACACACACAGTCGTATACACTCATCAGCACGTTTCTTTGTGTGCTAAACACCTATTGTCACTTGTACCAGTGTTGTATATATGCTATACCATCCTGGGCTGACTGTCTTTCTGTGTATGTCGTGACATTATATTACATATTAAAAATGTAATCTGTTCTGTTTCCCCAGAGTATTTTCAAATTGCACACCGTCTGTGGATCTGGACCTTAAAATGAAGAACTGCAAGTTTGATTCATGCAGGAGTGGTCCATGCCCTTCACTAGAGCAAGCTGCTCAGGAATGCAATACGGTGGATGTGTGTATTGACTGGAGAAGCCTGACCAATGGGACCTGTGGTATGTATCTTTTAACCTTTTTCTTATACTGTAAAGCAATACCAGTCAGTATAGGGACCTTATATATTTGTAGAGTAGACCTGACTGTAATGATGTTTTGATTAAAAGTGCCAATGATGTATTCAGGGACACTAACATTAATAACTTCATTTCTTCTGTTCATGTTTCAGATGTGCCTTGTGATGCGGGATTGGTTTACAGAGAATGTGAAAAGAAGCCGGATGGATTCTGCCATGGAGGGTTTGTTTAGTTTACTCTAAAGGGGCCCTGTTATGTTTTGGGGGGTTTCCCTTTCCTGTAGTGTGTTACAAAGGTTTTTTGCATTTAAAGGTCTGCAAAGGTTCCCTCCAGAGTGAGTTTCTCTCCCACACACCCTGCCTGAAACGCCTGAGAAAAATAAAGGACTTTTTCAAACATTAAAGTAAACATGTCACAGTAGAGGCACAAAATACAAATATTAACTTGAAATTTAACTTAAAGGTAGGGTAGGTAATTCACTTCAGAAACACTTTTTGTTATATTCCATGGAATGCTCTTAACATCCCGATAGCAATGAATATATTCAATGCTTTGACAATAAATACATACAAATAATTCTGTGGAAGGCGTGGTGCTGTGAAAAGCACGACCAATTATTTTCACTGGCCCGGCTAAAATAACTGGATGGCCTACCTCCCTGTCAGCCTTCCATCTGTGCACAAACTTATCTCGTTCCCTCATTGGTCATGTGCGTGTTCGTGTGTGTTGGAGGAGGGGCTCTGTAAGGAAGTCTGAAGGAAGGGGCAGGTTTTTTCCGGCTGCGTACTTTCAAATTCTAGCACACTTGAGCTGGTTTCTCCATTCTTAACTACCCTACCTTTAATAAGGCCCCTTTCACCAAATAACATCCTTACACTTGTTGTGACTTTTATATCTCTTCTATTTGTTTCAATCCTGCCGATATTTCCACTATTTATATTTCTCTTCTGGTTTTACAGAGCACATTATCGAGGTGATACCACTGAGAACTACATTGGAGGCTGTTTTTGTCCCAGTGGCCAATCCAGAGCAGGAAATCATTCATCCACCTGTGTGTCCGACTGCCGCTGTGAGTACACTGACCTATAAGGCTGACCGTCACACCTAGATGTTTTTGTTGTCATAACTACTGATAATGTAGATTTTCTCTTCCACCAGATTGTACAGGACCACTTGGTGAGCCTAAAATGGTGAGTTTCTTTGTCTCAACAGTGCGTAAAAAGTAGTATCTCTGACTTTAGATCGAATTCTACATCTAAAAAGTATTCCTCCACCTGTCTTGCAGCCTGGTGAGGTGTGGCGGTCCGGCTGTAGCTGGTGCAAATGTAACAAGCAGACTGTCACAGAGGAGTGTGATCTCAATCCTCCTGTTTCAGCTCCCCTCTGTAGCAGCACTGCTGTACTGGTGAACAGATCTTGCTGCAGTGATCAGATTTGCGGTAAGCACTGGCACGGAATTTATTAGATTTTACTTATGTTAAAAACAAATAACACACTTTAACTTATTTTTTCAGTTGAGAAGACATGCAGTTATCAGGGAAAAACATACAAGGTTTGTTGCGTCTTATCTTACATGCTCTATATGACAAAGAAAAGTGTTTATTCTGTATTTTAGATTGAAATGAATTATGTCTTCTCATGGTTCATCTCTTTGTGTGTAGATGGGAGACAGATGGAGGGATGCCGCCCATCCCTGCACGTCATTTAGTTGCAGCAAGGATGGAATTCAGACTGTGACTCAAGTCTGTCCTACAGAAGAGTGTCAGGAGGTACTACACACACCCTGTAATGTGCCTTAAACTCATCATTTTACAAGCCTTATTCCAAGTAGCAACTTAGGTATTACTGGAATTTCCACAGGCTAAACCATTATTTTACAGTAACAAAAATACAAGTTTTTCATTAACATTTATTGATTGTAGAAAGCAAGCATTGTTTTCTCACAAAAGATAAATAAAAAAGGTTTTCTTCTTACTTTTAAGTAGTACATGAGATACCAGAGTGCTTAGAAATGCATACAAAATCTAAATGGACTAAAAGAGCTTGTTTACCCAAAAAGTGCAAGGAGAGTATCCCATAGACACCTCAGCAGAGGTCTGGGCTAAGCCTCAAATGTCCTTAAATCCTTGAATCACCCCCGGGTCATATAAATTAATTATTTGCTTTTTAATGTTTATGAATTTGACTTGATAAAAACACATTTGTTATTTAATGGCCCCTGGCTTTCTGTCACCTGCAAATGTGGCCCATGGGTTTACCAAGTGAAAAGAGATTAAACATTTGGAATAAAGAAGCTGATTTAAGCCATTAAGTGATTCAATATAAGTAGAACCACCGCCATTTAACCTTGAGCTGTTGTGATGTATTCACCAGGAGGACAGGATTTGGGACGACCAGCACTGCTGCTTTACATGTAAGTTCAGTGAAACTCAAAAAAAGATGGAAGTCATTTATAATTTAACTCTCTTGCAGTGTGTAATCACTTTTAAGTTAAGTGATGTGATACTTTCCTGCAATCAAAACTTGATTAATAGGATGTATCTTCAACTTTTGGTTAACTTATTTTGCCTTCAGGTAACCAGAACTGTGCTCCGAACATGACCAGCCTTAACCTAACAGTAGACAGCTGTGTTGCCGTCATACAGATGCCTGTGTGTCAGGGCCAATGTGATTCGGAGCCCAGGTAAGAGTTAATATACTTGTCACTGATGAATAGCCAGTGCAGTGGCCATTTAATAAATGTACATTGTTCTAGCTCACAAAACAGATATAAAATCTATATATAAATACAAAATTATGCTCTTACTACAGTATATAGTTTAAGAGCACCAACACCATATGCTTTGTAATATATCATACTTTTTAACATTGTAATTCTGCTAGTAAGTCCCCATTTAAAAAAAAAAGGTAACAGTGATCAGATTTCGTCTTTTTTTTATATAAATGTTAAGGAAATATAGTTACCATTTTTAGTATTCTCATTCATTATCCTGTTACATGTAATCCATGAGTCCCCAAGCATGCAAATAGAAACACTTATGACAGCCAATCAACACATTCCTAGGTTTTTCTTCATTTTTTCCTCCAGTCCTCTGTGTAATCAACTCTTTCTCTCTCCGTCTTACTTACTCCCTCCACCTGTCCCACTCTCCCCCCTTTGCTTTTTGTTCCTCCACACACAGGGTGGTGTTACACAATGACCTGCAGGTGGAGCAGCAGAGCTCCTGCTGTGTGGAGAGACTCTCTGAGAGGAGATCAGTGACCCTACAGTGCTCTGATCTCACGACCAGGAGCTATAACTACATGCACATCACCAGCTGTGAGTGCAGATACTGTATTGTAGTACTGTAGTACTGTACTAAAGCATACTTTTGAGGGGCTCTTCATTCGTGCTACTTCATACTTATATACCACTAGAATTCAGAGGCAAATTCTATATGATTCACTCTATCCATTTACTTGATAACTTTAATTTAGTTAGAAGATTCAGATTTATAAAACGAAATATAATTAACAAATAAGGTTTTATGTTTTATTTTATGATAAACTTTATTGAACCCTTAATGAAACTCACAATCTACCTGTCAGTAGATATACTGTCCTCCTTTATCATTTGCATTATTAAAGTGATGATCACATCAATGTATCATTCTTTGTAATCCAATTATATGGTATTTTATTTGTTTTAATTGAAGTACATATTGAAGCTCGTACTTTTGTATTTAACCCTCCTGTTGTCTTCGGGTCAAATCTGACCGATTTACTACTTTCATCAATCATAACTTTTTTGTTTTTACATTCGATTGCATTAAGACTTTATGATATCCTTCACAGTAGACATCTGAACATATACAATTGCTGATCACCACTTTCATTGAATTGTGGATGATTTAGTCAACTTTGTAACACCCATGGTGTTCCCGGTCAAAAATGACCGCCATAAAGAAAAGGAATTAGTAACCATCCGGATCAGATAAAACTCAGATAAAACACACACACACACACACACACACACACACACACACACACACACACACACACACACACACACACACACACACACTACACACACACACACACACACACACACACACACACACACACACACACACACACAGAACAATTTGATCGGTCAAATTTGACCGCGAACACCAAAGTAAGGGGGGGGAAACAAAGACAATAGGAGGGTTAAATGCAGTACTTTTACTTATAGTAAGAGTATCTTTACACTGTGGTATTGCTAACTCAGATAAAGAGTTATTTGTCCACCACTGAACATACTGCACCAAAAATGACTGACAGCACAGACTGGACAGCATTTCTGTTATATACTTAATATTCAACATATAATGAAATAAAATGTAATGGCTTATTCGTTTTTTTCTTTTTCAAAGCATAACTGAATCATTTTTCCATCAAATAAACTCCTTGACTAATCATCTAAGTATGTGGTATGTTTTTTCTTTTGGGCAAAATCAAAGCATTAAACTAAACTTCAATGTACACTTTGTCACCTGTAATATGAGATTGTAGCAGATTAAATAATTAATAAGTAAGCATCTTGTGTAACAGGTGGAGGAGGGTCATTGCATCCCACTTCCTCTTTCAAGATGATCAGTTTAATTTTTAAAGAACAGGATTTCACATATCATTAAACAACTTGTCTGGGCACGGCCTAGTATTGGTAAAAGACAGGGAAAACGTCGAGACATTTTAGAGATTTTAGCCTTTGCAGACCATTTACATGCACACAAACCGATAGTTACGGCTGTAACTACAGTTCTATGAGTCCCGGATGACCGCCAGAGGCGGTGCTTTAGCACTGGATATGTCCATCGCATGAATGCGCAGTTCGAGTACCTAATAACAACAAAGTCACCTGTGACCCACGTGACTACGGCTACATAGGCCGGCGTCATTAGTGGATCGGTTCCCAGAATCTTCTCGCGAGCAAACAAGAATTCTGAATGACCGGAAACTCTGGCGGTCATCCGGGACTCATAGAACCGTAGTTACAGCCGTAACTATCGTTCTATTTCGTCCCTACTGACCGCCAGAGGTGGTGCTTTAGCACTGGATGACCTATACCAACCATGTCATGAAGAATCCAAGCCTTTGCTCACTACTGGAAGCAGCGGAGCTCGGCAACAGGACCACGTCCAAAGGACGGGGAGTGGCGACATTGACCCGGTAGAACCTGGAGAATGTGCCAGACGATGCCCACGACGCCGCGGCGCAGATGGTCTCCAGGGACACCCCTCTCAGGGCAGCCCAAAACATTGAGATGCTCCTTGTAGAGTGACATCGCACCCCTGATGGCGGGGGGCGGCCACTGGCCCCATAGGCCTGTGAGATTGTATCCAGCAACCACAGCTCCTTCTCGTGCCGCCATGGCAAATGAAGAGCTGCTCTGACTGTCGTATATGGGCCGTAGCACCAATATACGCCTCTAGGGCACGCACAGGGCACAGCAACTCAGGCGTGCCGTTCTCCTGTGGGACGTTAAAGCGTGCCAGCTGGATAGGCCGATTGGAGTGGGCTAGTGGAAGCACCTTGGGCAGGAACACCACGTTCGGCCAGAGGGCAATACCCAAGCCATCGGAGTTCCACCTCAGGCATGTATCGCTCACGGAGAGGGCATTTAGCTCTCCAACTCGTTTCCCTGAGGTCATGGCAAGCAGAAATGCTGCCTCTAAGGACAGCCACTTAAGCTCCACCTGGGCCAGGGGCTCGAAGGGAGGAGATGATAGGGCAGCAGGGGCAGGTCCCAAGCCGGAGTCCTCGGGGTGCTAGGGGGATGCTGCCGTAAAGCCCCTCTCAGGAAGAGGGACACCGACCTGTGGCACCCCGCCGTGGCGCCGTCGACCCGAATATGTCGGGCAGAAATAGCAGCCACATAAATTCAGAGTGGATTGAGAACGCCCACTATCTAGAAGGGACTGCTGTCTGGGCAACAGCGTACATGCGGTCACAAGGAACACACACGATCTGATACACTGGCCCACCAATGAAGCCTTTCCCACGTGACCACCACTTTCTAACCAGCAATCCCCCATGCAGCTGACAACCCCTGGTGACACCATTTCCATCCTCGGTGGAGAGAACCGCCTCAAAAAACGGACTGAGGGAGACATCCGCATTCTGCTCCATCACCAACTTACTGCAGGATACCGACAACAGCAAGTCAGGAATAACCACCGAATTTCTCGCACTGACCTCTTCACCCTGCTCAGATTCCTCCTGTGCACGGCTCACAGCCCGGGTCACAGAACAAGCCACAAACACTGCAGGAGAGCACTTGACATTCTCCTCTGCCTTAACAATCACAGTAGGTGAAGATGACTGCATGGTAGGCGGTGGACCCTCAGCCCACACACGGCTGCCAGCCAGGCCGTTACCCAGGATAACATCCACACCACCAATTGGCATTACAGGACGGACCCCCATGGCGACCTCACCCTGCACCAGACCTGAGTTAAGCACAACAGAATGCAGAGGAACAGGCACAACATTCATTCCCATACCTCTCATCCGGACAAAATCCCCAGTTCCAGATTTGTCCGAAAACGGTAACACAGAGCTCAGAATGTAGGAATCATACGATGCAGTGTCTCTCAAAATATTTACCACTATCACTTCCCACCAATGACACGTATCCGGTTGACACTAGGGGTGTAACGGTATCTGTATTCGTCCCGTACCGTCACGGTTCGGACGTCACGGTTCGGCACATGCAGTCACACGGCGAATACGCCTTTTTTTACGAGGGGGAAAAAAGTCTGTCACTGAGGGCAGTATTACACTATATATAATCCAGGGGGCGGTATTGCGCCTAAAAGCCAGCCGCCCGTAAATAACAAATGAAGAACAAGAACAAAACACAACAAAACTAACACAATATATGAAGAAGAAAAGTTAGTATCTATGGCGAGTTCAGACAACACACAGGAGCTAGAAGACCCACCTGCTTCTTTTAAATCAGGTGTGTGGGAACATTTCGGGTTCCCTGTGGACTACAACAATGATGGGGTGCGAGCGGTGCGAGTTGTGGATCGGACGAGGACGGTGTGTCGGCGTTGATCGACAGCAGTGCGGTATGCTATTGGTAACACGTCAAACATGCTAAATCACATCCGAGTCAGTCTCAGTCCCCAGCGAGAGGGTTTTCTCGACGGCAGGTGACATAGTTACCGCCAACAGATCTGCCCTCACTACTGACAACGTAGACAAACTCATCTTTTTGAAGAGAAACTTGAAAATAGAGTAAAGCTTGAATACCTTTATTTAGGCATAATGGCCTCACACACTCACAAGTTAATTACACATGTTAGACATTGCTCCTAAAGGTACAGATTTTATTTTGTTTTATATTATTGTATTTATTTTATATTTTGACATCAGGAGATGTTATACAGTTTTGTATTGCCTTTTATTGATTGTGATTGAAACACTTTCTTATTATTTATTTTAATATTTTCAAGACATTATTTTTAGTTGTACAGCTTATTTAACCTTTTAGTTTGACATCAGCCAATATAAATAATATGGCCATCTGAGTGTGTGTGTGTGTTACTGTTTGTGGTTTGTTTTTAACTGTGTAATACAGTTAATGATTCCAAATGTTAGAGTTCCTTATTTTCATACCAAAACTTGCACGACTGTTAAAAATAAATCACAGCAACAAAATAATTATGCATTTGGGACTTTTCTTTGCTTTTCCTTGTTGTACCGAAACCGTACCGAACCGTGACCCCCAAACTGAGGTACGAACCGAACCGTGACTTCTGTGAACCGTTACACCCCTAGTTGACACAAATGCAGAAAATACTGGGTCCTTCCACCCGCATGGCTCATTAATCTGCTGATAGGGAGAGATGACAGGTAACGGCACCACAGACACAGCACAAGCAGCAGAGTTAAACTGGCCTACACAGTTCCCCCTTTTAGCCTTAGCTTTTGGACAGTCAGCCTTCCAGTGCCCTCTCTCCCTGCAGTAATGACAGATTTCCGAATCACCCTGTGGCTGACCTCGCATCTCACGCTCACCCCAGTGCGGTTTAGCTTTCTCTTCCCATCTCCCTGCACGATACATACCCCCTTCATCCTGGACCCTGAAGTCACGACCGCCCCTGTGCGTTAGCACATAATCATCTGCCAGAGCAGCAGCCTCTGCAGCAGTTTTCACCTTACGCTCGCTGATGTAAACCGCAATGTGGCTGGGCACAGCATTTTTTTATTTCTCCAACACCATCAACTCACATAATGCGACATACGTATCCACTTTCAAAGAGTTACACCACCTACCGAAAAAAGTAACCAGATCTCTGGCAAACTCAACATGGGTCTGTCCGCTAGACTTCTCCCAGGACCTGAACCTCTGTCGATATGCCTCAGGGACCAACTCGTAAGCCTTCAACACAGCAGTTTTAACCATTAGATACACTTTGCTGTCCGCCACCGTTAAAGCAGAATAAGCTTCCTGGGCCCTACCTGTTAGCACACACTGCAGCAATAAGGTGCTATTAATAATAATAATAATAATCCTTTTATTTATTATAGCGCTTTATCAATGATTCTCAAAGCGCTTTACAAATACACATTACACATACAGATCATACCTACATTAGCATCTGACCACTCTATGCT